GTTATATATGCCGAGGGAATAAGGATTGTACGATGTCAGAAATACCAATAAATTTTATTAGGGTTGAAGTCTTTAAGGAAAATGGAGAGAAAAAATATGATAGAGATTTATGGATTGGAGTTGCAGGTAAAGTTCGAGATAAAATAACAACTTTGGACGCCTTTAAAGAATATTCTGATAGATTTGATATTGAGCATTATTTTAAATTTTCCAAATCAAAACTGTTGATGGATAAAATGCAATCATCTGATTCAAAAAAAGATGAAGATTTTATGTTGATGACAGCAATAGCTTATCACGTATTATGTAAAAGTTCTGATTTGCTAAATGAAATTAATGTTAGAGCTTGGGAAAATAAAAAAAGAATAAACTCCAAATCACCATCTAATATATTTAGAGCTGCAGCTATTAGTGATGTTTTTGATCAAGTATATACAGGTGAAATTAAAAAAAGAGGCATACCAGATGAGAGAAGTATAAGAAAAAGTTTTACATCAAAGAAAAATCAACCTATCATGCGCAAGTCTAGAGACCCCACAAAAGTGCAAGTAGAAATAAAGTCGAGTTTTGGAAAGATGCCTATTATTTCAAAAACCTCAATAAATACACAGCAAAAATCTAAGGAGAATTTTAGAAAGAAAATTTTAGAAAAAGCTGACCAAATATATGAAAAAATACACACAAAAGTAGCATAATTTTTCTAAATCACTTCTTTTTTAAAAATGCCATTTTTGGCATAGGTTAGAGTTTTGTCAAAAGTCCAGATAAGACATGAGCATTTTTCATAACATTTTAAATAATTGTACTCTAGAAAACAATGAAATACATTTGCATCACTTAAAAGAAATATACGCCTATAAGAGTATTTGGAGAGCTGTTATCACTCAAGCACTTATGGATGCATCAAGCAATTCAAAAAAGAAATTTGCTAAAAAGCAAAAAATCGATGCTATAAGGTGGTTATTAGATGATTCATATGCTGATGAACTTAAAATGGTATGCAATTTAGCAGATTTAGATTATAAGAATGTGTTAGTAAAGATAAAAAAAGCTCTAGCTAATGGATGTAAGTGGAGGAATGATAACAAAAATAATTAACACTACATGCTTACTGAAAT